CACTGGTCATTCAGGGCATATTGTTTAATTTCCATGTGTTTGTGTAGTTTTCAAAATTCAAAATTCCTCTTGCTACTAATTTCTAGTTCACTTTCTTGCTTTTTAATTTTGTTTGATTTATTTATTTATTTATTTATTTTTATTTTTTATTTTTAGATGGAGTTTCACTCTTGTTGCCCAGGCTGGAGTGCAGTGGTGCAATCTCGGCTCACCGCAACCTCCGCCTCCCCTGTTCAAGTGATTCTCCTACCTCAGCCTCTTGAGTAACTGGAATTACAGGCACCACCACACCTGCCTCTGATATTCTTTGTTTTGTATAATCATTTTTGATTGTACAATATTTTTTATTTTGAAAACATTCCAATAATAGAGAAACTTTACATTTGATGGAGTTTGCTGCTCTCTACATATTTTGTGTGTGTGAGGTGTCTCTGTATTTAGTTCTCCATTTGGACTTATGTCTTCATTTCACTATAGCACTACTAAATGTTTTAGAAAGGGCACAGCAGTGGCTGAGGCCAGCTTTGCCCAGGCTGGGTGATCAGGTGGTCGTGGGTTCTGGTGGATGCCAGTGTGCAGGTGGCGATGGTGTCAGCAGGCAGGGACGACCCCCATTCTTATTGCACTTGTGTTGTCTCTGAGGAAACAGCAGCTTCAGGTCTTAGGCAGGAGTCCCTTGTTCCTTGGAGAGGTTGGTACAGGGTTTCCTTCCTCCAGTCGCTGGGCCGCCTCCGCAGGTAATCCGAAGGGTGCTCCAAGGAGGCTGCTGAGGGTCGGACCTTCCTGGGACCCATTTTCTTGATTTTTTATCTTGAAAGTAAATTGTGATATTTGTGCTATCATAGCACAAGCAGCACGGTGACTCGTGTTTCACAGTGGTGCAGATGATCTCATGTGCTTTTGAAGTCCTGCCACCTTTCTAGCAGTGCCACACTGGGTTTTTTTTCGGTTCTTTTTAAAGAGGCGGGTCTTGCTATGTTGCTCAAGCTGGTCTTAAACTCTTTGGTTAGAGTGATCCTCCCACCTCAACCTCCCGAGTAGCTAGGATTGCAGGCACAAGCCACTGTGCCTGGGTGTGCCACATTTTAACTCTCTAGAAGTTAGGAGGCAGAACTCCCACATTTTGGGGAGTGACCTGTCCTCAGTCACCTTCCCGACCGGGAGTTTCCCCACAAAGGACAAAGTTCTGCCCTTGATCTGAATTTTGACAAAGTGAGGCATTTCCCTTCCACAGAGAATGGGACTGAGCATGTCCTTGCTAGCGGTCCTCACACCTGGGGGAGCTGGTGGGGTGACTTCCTCTGTTCAGTTCCTCCTACCATGGTGTCCGAAGGCATCATGGGCTGAACGCCGCCCTTGTTCTCTGACACAGCCTGGGGTCTTCAGAAGCTGGGTGGAGTTGACTGATGGGCACTGAATGGCCTATAAGAAGGTGCAGGTAGGGGGGTGTCATCTCCATCCTCTGAAGGTTTGTGGACCCCAAGCTTAACCAAGAGGCAGAGCCTGAGACTGGGACAGAGAATGAGGGCAGGGTCTAGAAAGCTTTTCCCCAACTTGAGGTCCACCTTAAGGTATGGCGCCTACCCTCCCCCTCTCACTGTCATCTAATAGTCCCAGGGGGATCTGGGAGGTGAGTTACCTGAGGCTCAGTAGCATTCAGGCTGGGTGCCAGGGACACTCCTAGGCCATCTCCTTGCTGCTTGAGTAAGGGAGAAATCCCCAGACCTACTGTGTCCCAGAGGAAGGAAAAATACACACAGTACTTTCCAGGGAGCCCTGCCTTTGTCCCAGGGACTCCAGGCTCTTTTTCATGTCTGAGCCCCACCTGGCACCTGTCCCAAGACTCACTCCTGAGATGGGATTAGGTAAGGAGCAGATGGAGGAGCCAAGGCTTCTCCCTCAGGAAGTAAGTGCTCACATCCGACAGTGGCACCTACATGCCGGCCTGAACCAGGGCTAGGAGGTACCGGCCAGGATGTGGTCTTGCGGGCGAGTCCTCAGCTCAGAGAAGGGAAGGCTGAGGACTGAGATGAAGACACCCAGAGTCTGGCTATTAGAGCACCTGGGGCCAGAGGGGGGTGGTTTCTGAAGGATCCAGGTGCTGGCTGATGCGGTAACTAGAGCAGGGGGCAGGCTGGACTCAGGGCTCACCAGGGACACAGTGAGAGTCTCATCTGGGCAGTCAAGACACTCGATGGGTGCAGGGGGTCTAGGAGATCCTAGAAGGTCTAGGTGGGCTGAAATAAGCCTGGCCATAAAGAGAAATATGTTTGGATTTTATTTATCCCATTTATTATTATTTTTTTTTCTGTTGACTTGAAAACCCTATCCCATGTCTGGTGAACCCAGAGCAAGGAGTCCAGAAGCTGCTGGAGGAGGAGCTATGGGAACCTCCGCCTCCCCTCTATGCACCGTCCCTGTGCCCCAGTGCAAATTTCCACTGCACTCCTGCAATGATAATGCTCACTGCCAGGACCCATGCCCAGGGTCTCCCTCTTCAGCCCGAGAGACCACCATCAGGCACGGTCCCCACCCCACCCGTGCACGGCCCCCACCCCTCCCATGCTGGCCCACGGTGGAATCTGCCTCTCCGGTTTCTGGTGATTTCATCAGGGCCGCATCACATTGCTAGAGCTAGAGATAACATCTCCCTGTGGGTAACCCTTCCCTGCCAAGCCCCCTGAAGCTGGACCCAGGCTGAGAGGAGGGACTCTGGGGTGTGGAATGAATTTAGGGATGTGAGGGTCTACCAGGCAGAAGCAGGTTGGCTGTGATGTCAGCACAGAGCTCAGGAACGCTGCCACTGGACCCTGGGGCCTATGAGGAGGAGAAGAGGGCAGGAGCTGGTGAGGTGCTTGCAGAGACCCTGGGCTCCTATCCTACCATAAGCCTCACTGTCTCCTGATATCTGCAGCCAGGCCCTACTGACACCCCCAGGCCTGGGTGCAAGCAGAGACCCTACCCTTCCCAGGCCCCGGAGGACTGGTCCACCTTAACTGGGCAGCCGTTGGGGCGGGCGCTGGCCAGTGCCCCAGCCCAGGCCTCTGTGCTCTGTATGCACTGCCAGCCTGCCATCGGGCCCCTTGCAGCGGGTTGCAGCCCTGAACCATGATCCAGGGCACCTTGGAGCCAGACGGTCCCCTCTGGGGCTGGGACTGGGACAGTGACAATGACTGGGATAGTGCTGTGCTGGCCCTCCTGGCGCTGGCTGTGGTGGCTGCCACAGCGCTGGCCTTACACTGGTTTGGCTCCGGGCACGACCAAGAGGCGGCAGGACCAGTGTCCACAGCCCTCGGGGCTCAACCTCATCAGGCAGGAAGAGCGGAGCTGGCCTTGCAACCGAAGTCCAAGGTTAGTGATGGCAGCGAGGGGCAGAGCCCAGGGCAGGGGAAACCGGAGCCCCCAGGACGCGGCCAGCGGAGCCCTGTCCCTGCTGCAGCCCCG